AACAATACCTTTTTTTTTTTTTTTAATAATAGAGCATCAGGCAGCATTTCATAATATTTACTCAAGCTTTATAAAAATACAATGCTGCCTCCAGAAGGCATTTCTGATAATAACAATTTGTCATCTTTACTCCGTGATCTATTCAGAGAAATAAGCTCTATGCTGCGCTATACATTTTGTATACTGGTTCAGTGTAGTGAAGGAGAGTCATAGTAAGTACCGTGCGTTCACATTCTCTCCAGAAGATTTTACCAGTTAGTGTAGATTCCTCTGCAGTAAAGTACATACGGCGTCTTCTGAAGCCCCCTCTCATCTCAGTGTTGCCTGTCAGGCCTCTCCTGTCCCAGCACTCAGCAGCACTCACTGTGCTCCGTCGGTGGACTTCATACTTCTGCCTTGCCCCACACCCTGCTTTTCAAATGATCTTGAGCTTTTCTTCCATACGTGCTTTTGGAATGAGTTGTCAGAAGTCATAGAAGACGCTAAAATGTCTGGCTGAAATTGCCTTAAATTTAAATTTTAATGTGAAAGAAATGATACTTCAGTTACCTTACTTCTATCTACTAATACGCCTATTTCCTGTGTATCAGCTCTCTTTCCAGTCTCTTGAACAGTGTAGATGTCTGTGCTGTAGATATGCTGTACTAATGTGTAATCACATTAGTACATGTGTTTGGAAGTGGTAAACTTTCCAAAGCACTTACAAAAATAGATATTTTAATATTTATTATTCTAGATTCTCACTTTGGAACTCCCATGGAAAGTGCATGGTTCTGTTGCGATTTTACATTTTTCCGTGAACCTCCGTGTTTCTTTCTCCACCTCTGGTATAGAAGCATGCAAAGGCAGTTGAAGGAGAGTAAACTGTATCTCCTGTTGCCTGCCCTCCTCCGAAAACCCACAAGGACTGGGAAGAAATACCCTTGGAATTGAGGATTAGTGTGCTGCCAGTATGGCTCTTGCTTCTTTCTCTCTACTGTTTCTGCTCAGCAGAGCTAAAGATTAACAAGGAAGGTTGAGAGTGGAAGCCTTGTATGTTTGTCTTTCTCCTTCTCCCTCCATCCCTTCCCTCTGTGCCTCCCTCCTATCCTCCCCATTCATACACCCTCCTGGCTTCCCCTTTGATGCTTCTTTTTAAATATATCATGTTACCATAATTATACTGAATTTATAGGGAAAGGGAAAAACTGGCTTCTCTCTCCTCTGCCACTCAGGAACACTGACTGTATGCCAGTGAACTAGATTTCCTTGTTTGCATCCCTTTTGTTTACAAGTCTACACAAACAGCGCATGCAGTTTGTATTATGTAGCTTGTCCATTTGGGTAGATGACAATGTCTTTACTTTGTTTTGTTAAATTGGGGTTGCCTGGGCTGGGTTGGCCGTGTGGGCACAAATTCCTTCCCCGGTAGCTGATGCTTAGAGGTTCACAGAGCAGCACTTGGTTCTAAATGCCAGGGTCTTTGAATGCCCTAGTGTGCTCTCATTTGAATCTTCATTTAAGAAAATTTTCAATTTTTTACTTAAAGGTATTTTGAGTAAATTTAGAAAAATTAGCTGAGATTGACTGTAGAGTAGATTTACAATTCTAGTTTAATCCTATATTTCAGTTCACTGGATGTATTTCACCAGATTGAGGTAAAGATACAAATGCTGCATCAGAACTTTATTTTCCATAGAATTTGTAGGATAAGGAAAAACATATGGTGACATTACATATAATACCAACAATCAAAGGACTAAGGAAAGAACATTTCTGTGGCTAGCAAGAAAATTAACCTGTTAAATAAAGATGGGCATTATGTTATTTTGATTAAAGTACATTATTATTATTTTTTCTAATGTCTCATAGTGAGGGGATTTTATGCCGTATTTTTAATATTGTTTTAGACCAGTTCAAACAAGTTCTTTTCAAAGTATTATCAAATAGAATTTCACTGAGGCCCTGAATTCCTTCACTATATTTTACTGATGGACCTCTGAAATGGGCCTGCTTATGTTGTGTGATGTGCACATGGCTGTGTGTTTAGGCATGCTCCTTCACATTTAAATCTCCTGTGGACTCTGCAGCTGATGCCCGGGGTGGTTGTGTTCTTGGTTATTGCCTCCTAATGGCTGTACATTTTTCAAGTATCAGACATTGTTTAATTCCTTTTCTTTTTAAATGATGTTCTTAAATAACCTTCTTTTAGATCGGAAGTTTTCTTAGAATCTACAGCCTCCATACCAAACTTCAGTCTGTTAATTCAGAAACCAACACCTCATTGATAAGGCTGGAGTTCCATCTCCATGGAGGGACCAGTTACGGTCGGGGGATCAGGGTCTTGCCAGAAACAAGCTCTTGTGTGGATCAGCTGAAAAAGTGAGTATTTTGTATCCCTGCTTGAAAAACATAAATGAGATACTTATTAGATTATTTTTCAAGGTACCGTTGTTCCTGGGGCTGTGTGAGGCCTTAGTCTTTTTTCTGTTTCTCTTCTTTGCATTTCTGAAAATCAAACACAGACTCTTTCATCTGCTAGGCAGGTTGTACCACTGAACTATATTCTATCTCTACCTCTCTGTTGTATTTTTAAATACGTAAGGCAAACAAACCAAGTGATTTTATGTACAAGTACTGAGTTAGTAACCAACATTATGATTTACGTTATTTCCGCAATTAAAATTTGTTTCTCTTTTTGGCATATTCTTTTTCCATTTGATATACACTAAGTATATCAACAAACAATGGTAAACAGAATTCAGTTTACCAACTGAGAATTTTCAGGAATTTCAGAAGTTATTTAGTCATACTGTTAAAAAAAAATCCTTTTAAATTTCTTAAATATATCCCAAAGTGTGGCAGTATGTCACACTTTCAAAATATTTGAAAGGCTATTTTTAAAGATTTTAGAAAATAGCATGTTGTAAATTCAGTCTGCTTCTTCCTCAGGTGTTTTTAGTGGGTACCGTGAACAGAAACATTGCACCATACTCTAGAGGAAAAAAATCCATATATCTACACCGTTCTATATAAACTGAAATAACATTGCTGTCCACCCAAGTTTTAATTCGCTTCAGTTGCCTGTGACATTAAGTGCATACTTACTAGTTCTATATTCTTTTAATACTGCATATATCAGAGCACCATTTCACTTTTCTAATATATTTAATTAAAAGTTTTCATACAATATATTTTGATCATATTCTTTTCTCTTTCCTAACTACTCCCAGATCCTCCCCACATCTCTACCCACCCAAATATATGTTCTGTCTTTTAAGAAGAAAAATAAACAAAACAGATAAACTAAATAAAAAGTCAACACGACAAAAGCCAAAACATACAGTGCACAAAACAGAAACAAAACACAGAGTCCATTTTGTGTTTGCCTGCTACTTATAAGCACAGGACCTGACCTGGAGTGGCACTTCATTGCTGAAAGCCAGTTTTCCCTTTTACAGCAGGTATTAGTTGGAAATAATTTCTTGGTTAGGCATGAAACTTTGTGTCTACTTCTCTTTCTCAGTGCTGGGATTTTGTCTGAATTAAACATGTGTCTGTTGTATGCATGTTGTGACAGCTTCTGTGGCTTTTGCAGTCTTTCTGCCTTCTCTCCTGTATTGATCCCAGCCCCTGAAAAAGAATAGTTTGACAAGAAAACCCAGTTAGAGATGAGTGCTCCAAAGACTCACTACTCTGAATATTGTTCAGTTGTGGATCACTTTGTTAACTACCAACTACTGCAGGAAGATGCCCTGCTGAGGTTGAGTGATGCTCAGTCTTAAGTCCAGCTTTTTTAAATAATTTATTTTTTATTAATTACAGTTTATTCACTTTGTAGCTCAGCTATAGCCCCCTCCCTCGCCCCTCCCAATCCTTCCCTTCCTCCCTCTTCTCCTCCCATGCCCTTCCTCCAGTCCACTGATAGGGGAGATCCTCCTCCCTAGCCAGTCAGGTCTCATCAGGGCTGGCTGCATTGTCTTCCTCTGTTTCCTGGTAAGGCTGCTCCCCCTCAGGGGGAGGTGATCAAAGAGCCAGCCACTGAGTTCATGTAAGAGACAATCCTTGTTTCCCTTACTAAGGAAGCCACTTGGACACTGAGCTGCCTTGGGCTACATCTGTGCAGGAGTTCTAGGTTATATTCATGCATGGTACTTGGTTGGAGTATCAGTCTCAGAAAAGACCCCTGTGTCCAGAATTCTTGGTTCTGTTGCTCTTCTTGTGGAGTTTCTATCCCCTCCAGGTCTTTGATCTCCCCCTTCTTTCATAAGATTCCCTTCAGTCTGCCCAAAGTTTGGCTATGAGTCTTAGCATCTGCTTTAATACCCTGCTGGGTAGAGTCTTTCAGAGTCCCTCTGTAATAGGCTCCTGTCCTGTTCACTGTTTTCTCCCTCTTCTGATGTCCATCCCATTTGCCTTTCTGAATGCGGATTGATCATCTTACCCAGGGTCCTCCTTCTTTCTTAGATCCAGGTATACCACTCTTAGGCATATAGCCAAAATTTTCTCACATATACAACAAGGAAATTTGCTCAACCATGTTCGTAGCAGCTTTATTCACAATAGTCAGAACCTGGGAACAACCCAGATGTCACTCAGCGGAGGAATGGCTGGAGAAATTGTGGTATATCTACACAATGGAATACTACAAACAAGGAAATCATGAAATTTGCAGGCAGATGGGAATTAGAAAAGATCATCCTAAGTGAGGTATCCCAGAAGCAGAAAGACACACATGGTATATACTCACTCACTTATAAGTGGATGTTAGAAATATAATATAGGCTAAACATACTAAAATCTGTACACCTTAAGTCCAGTTTTTAAAAGTGGTTAGTTACTCCTGTAACATTTGTGCCAGTACATATTGTATCAGGGTTTCTGTTGTGGCTGCATGGTTTATAGCTGGGTGAAACTGATTTTGATTCTGAGCTTGATTTGTTTTTTCCACCTCCTCTTGGAGTATTATTTCTTGTTTTTCTAGAGCTTTCAAATGTTTCCTCACATTATATGAGATATCTTTGGTTTTTTGATGTAGGCACTTAGTACTATGAACTTGCCTCTTAGAATTCTCTTTATTGTGTTCTATAACTGTAAATGTTCTGTTTTCATTTTCATTCAATCATAAAAAGGTTTTAATTTCCTTATCTATTTGGAGATGAACCAATTTTCATTCAGTAGTGAGTTGTTCAGTTTTAATGAGTTTGTATATGTTATCCCATTTCTGTTATTATTATGTCCAACTTCTATCATGGCCATATAAAATGTGTCAGTTGAGACTTGTTTTGTATCCAAGTATGTAATCAGTTTTACAGAAAGTTCTATGTACAACTGAGAGTAAAGTATATTCTTGAGTGTTCAGGTGAAATGTTGTTGAATATCTGCTAGATCCATGTGATTTATGTTATTTAACATCCCTCTGTTAGGGTTTTGTCTGGGTGGCCTGTACTGGCAGGAGGGAGATATGGGAGTAACCCACTATCTGTGAGCTTCAGTATGTGAGTTTATCTGTAGCAGTGTTTCTGTGAACTGTGAACTCGGGTCCCTTGTGTTAGCTACAGACGTATTTAGTATTTTAAGATCCTCTTGGTGGATTTGTTCTTTTTTTTTTTTTTTTTTTTCTTTAATGAATATATAGTGTACTTCCCTATCTCTTTATTAGTGCTGGCTTAAAGTCTTTTTTCCAAGTACACCTGCTTTTTTCTTGGGTCCATTAGCTTTGAGGATCTTACCCTAAGATGATGTGTATCCTTGGTTGTGAGAGGTGTTTCTCAGATGTAGCAAAAAGATAGGTCCTGTTTTGTAACCAGTCTGTTAGTCTATGTTTTTTATTATAGAATTAAGGTAATTAATATTGAGAGCTTTAACAAGCAGTATTTATTCCTGCTACTTTTGTTGTCATGAGAAACACTTCTTTAGACTAAGTATTCTGGGATTATTTCTTGTATCCTCTTGGGTGTAGCTAACCATCTCTTCAGACTGAAGTTTTCCTCCTAGTGCCTTCTGTAGATTTGGATTGGTGCACAGAAATTACTTAAATTTGTTTTTATTTTGAAATACTTTCTGCATGAGTTATAAGAAATAATTTTGCTGGGTATAGTAGTCTGGACTGATATCTCTGATCTCTCAGAACTTGTTGAACATTTGTCCAGTCCCTTTAAGCTTTTAGAGTCTCCATTGAAAAGTTGGGTATTAGAGTGTGTCTGCCTTTATATGTGGCTTGATCTTTTCCCCTTGAAGCCTTTAATATCCTTTCTTTGTTCTGTGTGTATAGTGTTTTGATCATTATGCATTGTGAGGTGTTTCTTTTCTGGTCTAGTCTGTTTGGTGTCTCTGTTCTTCTTGTACCTTGATAAGCATCTCTTCTTTAGGTTGAGGTAATTTTCTTCTATGATTTTGTTAAAAGTATTTTCTGTATCTTGACATGGGTTTCTTCTTCATAGTCATAGATTATTATTCATAGATTTGGTCTTTTTGTAATATCTCAGATTTCCCATAGTTTTTACTGTATTTTTTTATATTTAAATAATTCTTTGACCAACTTATCCATTTCTTCTACATTGTCTTCAAGACTAGAATTTTTTTCTTCCATTAAAAACAAAAAGTCTGTTGTTGAGGCTTACCTATGAAGTTTTTGTTTGATGTCTTTGGTTTTTCAGTTTCAGTTTTATTTCAGTTTGTATTTTTTTATTGATTTTATTTCTTTGCTAAACTTTACTTCCATGTCTTGAATTGTTTTCATTATTTGTATTTTATGGTCTTCATGAATTTATTCATATTAAGAGATTTATTCATGTTCCTTTTAAGGTCTTTGAATATATTTGTATTTGCTATCATTAAGTTCTTGTTTTGTGCTTTGGCTTCATTGCTGTCTTCTGGAGGGGTCCGTGGTAGAGAGCTGCCCCCTGGTCAGTGGGAAGTCGTAATAGACTAGAAGGAAAGGCTGAGAAGAGTCACTGGGAAGAATTAGGGAGACCTTGTATCTCCACCAAGACGTTGAGACCCATGGTGGTTGTTGTGAACTGGGAGGAGGGGATCAGACAAGTAGGCTGCAGCTGGACCAAGGGTAAGTGTGGAGACATTAGAATGGAACACAGGAAGAAGAGTGGCGGTCTCTTTCCCAGGCTAGTGTGGTAGCCATTGGTCCCTAGGGAAAAAAAAAAAAAAAGCCATGCAGGTCAGTGCAGTTACAAAGCAATGGTGATGGATGGGAAGGCTGAAAATGGCAGTCGGAAGTCGGATAGACCTAGGAAGGCCCCATGTGTACTAAGTCCCAGAAGAATAAGCTTGCTTTTCCAATCTTGAGTGACATCATTGTAACTGATGTTAACCATTGAGTTTCTAGATTTTTATTGTTTGTTTTTGTAGTCTTTCATTGACTGACTTCTAGTCATATATTTCTGACTTTCTCTGCTGTTCATTTTGAGGGCTTTGGAGCTCTCAGATAATCTGATAAAAGCTATAGACCATTGAGTGGAATCATAGCAAATTGTATAATTTAATGAACTCCTGGATTTTGGGGTGCAGCTAAAACTTACTCTTGACTTTCTTACACAATTTGGTTTCATATTCTTTAATTTTAGAAGTTTAGAATGTGCAGATTTGGCAGTGAATCAGCCCTCAGACGATATCTGTCAATCAGAAAATGAGGACATCTTTGCACTTTCAAGTAAGGACAATTTATAACATTGACATTTTACTTCCTCATAATTTTTGAAGCACACTTACCTTTTCTTTTTTCTTTTTTTCTTCTTTTTTTATTACAATTCACTTTGTATCCCAGCTGTAGCCCCCTCCGTCATCTCCTCTGGGTCTCATCTTCCCTCCCCATTGCCCCCTTATGTCCCTCCCTTTGTCCACTGATAGGGTAAGTCCTCCGACCACTATCTGACCCTCGCCTATCAGGACTGTCTGGATCCTCCTTCTCTGTGGCCTAGTATGGCCACCCCGCCAGGGGGAGGTGATCATAGGGCACACTTACCTTTTTAAAGTTTTCTCCCTGTGTCTCTTTTCACTTCATCCACCTATATGATGTGTATATGTATGTGCATTAAAGTAACACTGTAAACATTTGTCTTGACTTATGCACTAAGTTTCATTCACCCTTAAATATATAATCACATTTCAAATTAAAGTGATAGTATTTACTTGGTTTATGATATGTGTGTGATGTTTTATGTTTATTTTAAAAAACTGAATGAATTTCCTAAGCAATCATTTTGCATGTCAGTTTCTAAAAGGGACAAACAATGTTGATGTTCCTTTATCTTAACCATCCCAAGTTGTTTTTGCTCATACATGTATTGGATGTCTAATGCATAAATGTGAATTGTCCAAATCTCTCCAAGATATTCTTATTGTTGATCCTAATGGGATTGCTTTTGTACAAAGTACGTTCTGAGATTGATCTGTGCTGGAACATGTCAGTAGCTCATTTCTTAATGCTGAGAGATGTAATAAGGAGATTTGGAGTTAGAAGCACTGTTTGTTTCCTTTTCATGTTTAGATGGCATCAGTATCTACCAAAATATCAAGTGCCTATAAAGATGGCTTTATTAGGGGGTTCCAGGGCATCAACTATTAGTATATTTTGAAGTATGAACCTTCATTAATAATTCCTGGTGGTTGCAAAGCCATTTCTTAAAAAAAAAAAAAAAAAAATACTGTCAAAATGTGGGTTGATTTCTAAGTTTTCTTTGCTTTCTTGGTCTGTCATCTTTCTTTCAATACTAGAGTTTCTTGATTGCTATACCTTAAAATCATGTAGTATAAATCCACAAACGTTCTTCCCTTTTGAAATATGCAATATTTTGAATTCTTTATATTTCACCTCAAAGCAAGGAGAGACCTTGCCTGTCGATACTAAGTCTGGTATTTTTTAGGGAAATATACATGTCAACATTTAGTAGGCTTTCTTGGGTTTCTTTGCACAGCGTTCTTTAAATTTTACATTAAGTTTCTAATGGACATTTTAAGAAGCTATATAATTGTGTGATTTCCTTTCCTCTTTCTGTAGGCTCCGGATCAGGCTCAGTATCACTGTATGAGGTAGAACGATGTCAGCAGGTCTCTGCTACAAGTAAGTACAGTAACCGTCATACAGACGACTGACTTTACACTCCCCCCAGTCCCTTCCTACCCACGAGTGACAGATTTTCATGGAAACAGTCTCTGTTTGGGTTTGACTTTCACTTCCCAGCTTCATCTCCTATGGTCTGATAGAACCCATGCATGTGCGTCTCTGTATTAATGTCTTTTAATTATAAAGACTTATGAAATGGATTGCGTTGGTTGTTATTAGCTTAAAGCTATAAATTCTACTCTGACATTATTTCAATAAAATTATACTTATATATATAACTCTATACACCTAAGAAGCGCACTACACTGTGCCCTCAAATTTTAATATTAACAATGATACACACTTGCCACATACACTCCTGTTATTTTAACTAACTTGGAAAAGAGCTTTAATTCAGACAAAAAAAATTGTGCCAAGTACATTAAATAATTCATTAAGTAGTGCATTAACTGTTTAGTACTGTAAGATAGGAATCTTTCCTCTTGGAGAAAGGAGATGGAAGTGTGGAATGGGAGGAAATGCCATACACTCAGGCTGTAGATGCCCGTGTGGAAACTAGTGCAGGTGTGTGCAGAGGCCATGACCTCTGGGAGCAATAAGCATATGTAATGCACAGACACATCCTGACCCATAAAAACATTCCTGTTATCTTTGGAGAAAAGGCATATTCTAAAATTAAAACAAGAAAATTAGAGATAAACCCGGCACATCTTGAACTGCAAAAAAATAAGATATTCTCAGCTAACAAAAAAAAATATCAAATCTGGAACAGTGCACTCATCAAATAAATGTTGATGGCGGGTTAGAATTTCTTGAGTAAAAGAAAAAAAAGTTTTAAAAAAGGACTATTTTGCTAACGTGATGGTATTTATTGGTTTAATGTGAATTGATGTATTTTAAACTATTGGATTCTAAATGTTTGATAAAGAATAACACTTTATCCCTTGATACTTAACCCCTTACTAACTATAAGAGTAGGAAATAGTTCAGAGTAGAGTAATGCTGAACATCCTTTACTGAGCTGAACCAGTTTCCCTTCCATGGATGGCAAGCTCCAGTCTACTAGACCTCTTCATGGAGTGCATTAAGAACCAGTGTTACATGTGTAGTCTTTGTGCCAGAATGCATGGTCTGAATCTGAACATGTGAAATGCCCAAAATGATGCTTATTCACCAAAGTGAGTATCTTGTTCTCAAGTCAGTGTCATGACATAAACACAAATGGACTTGAGGGCCATTTGATGCTGGACTATGGACATGTGGTAGACAAATATTCTTTATTGCTAGGATTCGAACAGACAGGTAAAGGACACTTGGAGAAATACAAGTGTCTTACATCTTACAACCCCATCATAGTGGTAAGTCTGTGTTAGTTGTCTCTGAAACAGGCACTGCAGCTATGCCAATGAAATAAATTGTTCTCATGAAATACTGAAGTGTTAGGAAAAATCAGGACAAAGTGTCTGGAAGCTGTTCTCGATAACTCAGTTACAAAATTAGAAGGAGAGAGACAGAGATAAAGATAGATCAGAGACCAGTTTATTACAAGTGGTGAATCTTTCTAAAGCATATCCAGGATGTCTTTATGTTCTCACAGTTTTTATTCAAGTTTGAATATAACACAGACTTCACATATTACCTGAAAGGGTGGAGTGAGGCACCTTTGCACAACACAGGTGTTTCACTACAGGCTTTTCACCATTTACCACAGGAAGGAAAATGTTCCTTGAGGTTTTTGTTGCTTTAAAGCTAGGTACAAAAGTAATTGTAGGGCTTATGCCTCAGTTCTGTTTTCTATATATGGAAGTGTTGTCTTAGAAGATCTTAACTGAGTAACAGTGAGATATTCTAGGATTGCACTATTCTAAGAGCTGAGTGAGAGCTGTTGTGTTAAACTGTTTAACGTAAACTCATTCCAGCTATCCCAAAACTTCCCTTTTTTATTTTCCAAGCATTTCTTCCTCCTGTTCTATTCTTCTGTTGTAATTCTGATTGCTTCCTCTCTTCCACATCCTCCTTTTTCTCCTCTTCCCACTTTCCCTTTCTACTTACAAAATGAATTCCTTTTCTTTAACACACTGCATGACTATGATAATTTAGTTCCCATTATAATCATTTCCAGTCTCTTATTCTGGGCATTTAATGGAGGAAGGTTCAATAAAGTCTTGAATATGACATACCCAGGAAAGAGCCTCTGTGTCAGATCATTTTTAGCAAATGTGTTTAGTTACTATTTGTTTGATGAAATCCAGTTAGAATATAAGCTGTGGCCTAATGAGTTCTCTAAGGTTGGCAGTGAACTGTTTTACACAGCTAACATGCATACGTACATAGTATTTAATGATGTAAAGATACATAAGCACACAGTATATGCTTAAATTACCCCTTTCCTCCTACTCAGCATCTGTTTTAAAAGTTTGGTGGGAACGTGCTTTGTGCCTGGAACAGTGTCCATAGACTTTAGGGACATATCTAGAAACAGTAACTGTAGCTAAAATTGATCCTATAGTAAATCTTTGCTTCAGGAAGATTCGTGTTAAACATGGCTAAGACTCCCATACATTATTGACTTTGATTTAATGTAAAAATCCTTTACAGTACTTACAAACCACCAATATCTAGAGAAAACACCATTGTGTGCCATTTTGAAGCAAAAAGCTCCTCAGCTATATCGAATCCATGCAAAACTGAGATCGTATATGCCCAGAAGACTCTTCCAGTCTGTTAAACTTTTTTGTCCTAAATGCCATTCATTGTAAGTATTTCCCAAAAATTAGTTTTATCTTATATGTTCATTGTTTGTATATATGCTTGTGTATGATTGTGTTTTTGTGTATGTGAGGTTTTAAGTCCTAAAATGAGTACATTATGATTTGATTAAATTTATAGTGTTATAAAACAATATTGATAATTTAAAGGGAAATTACTAAATTGCTATTCTCCAAAAAAATTCTTTTGAGTCATTCTTAGTAATAATAAATTAAAGATCCTATTTTCAAGCTTTAAAATTAATGTTTAGTAGGTTTGATAGATATAATTGAAAATTTTCAGTCATGTCATGTTTAATCTTCATTCCAAACACCAGTTATTATGTGACTATATAAATATGTAGGATTTTTTGTAATCTTATTAATAATGTATTCAACTCAAAACATGTTTAGATAATAAGTTTTATCTCCTGTTAGTCTTTTCTATATATTTTCCCTCGAAATATAGAAAATAATATTTTGTAAACTATAGGTTGTAGCTGGACTTTTTACTGCTTTGTGGGTCTCTTTTTCTCTCTCACACCCTTCTCTGCCCTTATTAACCCCCTAACGCTAGATAAAAGAGAATAAAAATGATAGAGGGGAAAGGGGTGGAAGCTACCATCAGACCGCTTCCTGCTCAGTAGGTAGGCATTCAGTTTCTTGGGGCAAGTTTGATCCTCCCCATTAGGACATCTGGTTTCTTCTCCTTTCTTTGTGCATGACTACTTCAGACACAACAACCAACCACCAACTGCCCAACAACAGAGGCCCCGCCTCTTAGGAACTTGGCACTTCTGTGTCCTCTGAAAAGTTCCCAGAGTTTCAAATGTCACACACTCATGGAACCTTACCTGCAGCAGCCAAAACCTAAAACTTGCTGGTGCTAGAGCACAGACAAATCACAGTCACCTGCTGTGCAGCAGCCCTGAGTGCCTACGTGGTGGGAGGTGGTCCTCTCACTTCTACTCATGCACCAGGGCATGTGTCTGCCCAACCACAACAGGGATTTTCCTTGCCTTGCAGTGCTAAACATTTATTCAATAAAATTCATTAAATTTGAAAACTGCAGTATCTCCTTAATTTAAGAAAGCTTAGCTGATTTATTCTGCATATAAAATAGATTTAACGTTTGTTCTCTACTCACTTCTTTTACGCATGTTTTACCTGAATGTGTGTGTGTGTGTGTGTGCCGTGTGGATGCCTAGTGCCCACAGAGGTCAGTACTGGAATTACAGATGGGTGCATGGCTGCATGTAGGTGCTGAAAATGCATCTGGGTCTTATGCAAGAACAGCAAGTGTTTTTAAACACTGAGCAGCCTCTAGGATTTTTTTACTTGAATAATTTATTAAATTTGAATTTTTGAGAATATACATATATGGTTTTCTGAGTCTTCATTATCAATGGTTCTAGGCAAGAAGTTCCATCTGAGGATGATTTGGATAAAATTTTTCAAGATGCTACAACTAATACTCTAAATAGCAAGCTGCAAGATACATCATTGTATGACTCAAAAGTCTGGTCCACTGAAGGCCAAGGAGGACGGCAAGTCGCTGTTCATTTTGTGAAAAATGATGGCATTCTCCCTCTTTCAAGTGAATGTCTCATTTTGATAGAAGGTAAGAGACTGACTTGTTCTTATGCTTTTAGAATATAATTTTTCACATCATCTTAATTATGTTAACTATACCTTATGGGCACCTAATAAAATACTATTAATTTAAATTTTCCCAAATAGTACCTCAGCTAGATTCAGATATGGATGAGCAAGCACATTCACCTGGATTGCATTTTCAGATTATGAAAACTTGCATTTATCTACCTTGTTGGATTTGTGTCTGTGATATTGTCAGCGTTGAACTCATCCAGTTGAATAGTTTGTAGTAGAAGGACAAATGTAGTCTTGGCCTCTGGATGTCACTGTTGTTTCATAAAAATGGGATGAAAGTCCTCTACTAATACCTACGTCAAGGAAAGGGCCGGGGAAAGCCATGATAATGACAACTTTAAAAGAATTGTACTATTCTATTTTCTGGATTTTTTAATCTAATTTTTATATAATGGTTGTCTTTAACTTTTTACTGTGAATTATCCTATAAATTTATAACTCCCTGTCTTTGTCACTATTTCTAGAGTTTGCCATATCTCATGTGTTACTTACATCCCACATCTTGCATTACTAAAGAATTTTTCTTCTTTTTTTTTTTTTTTTTTTTTTAAGGAGGAAGATTCTGTGAAGTCTCTAAACTGTCAAGCAAGTTTCACAGTGTGATTCCTGTGAGGTCTGGCCCCGAGGACCTGGAGCTCCTAGACCTTTCAACACCATTCCTTATACAAGGGAAGGTGTATCACTATGGGTAGGCTCTGGTACCACTATCTAAGCTCTGGGGATCACAACTGTGTCTTTATGTTTATCGCCAGGCTACTGTATATGCAACAGGTACTTACTTGTATCAGTTTGTAGTTAGAAATGGTTCCTGAGTGATATTGTGTTAGAATTGTACAGATGCAGTCCAGCAAACTGTTCTTTAAATTTTGAGTTTCCATCTTTTCCAGTCAAGTGGTGTGTGACACAACACTCACGGTAGGGAGAGTTAGCAAATTCAAACTTGCAGCAGACAACAGGACTGTTAGGGTAAGCAACTGTGTGCTGAGTGCTGTATTCAGTGGGTTAGAGATACTGATGTGAGCTCAAGAGCAACCATACTCATTTTTTTACATACTTCTAAAATGGAACGCGCACATACACACTCTCTGTGCATGGTAATGCACAGTGGGTATGAGACTTTGAATGATTTCTTCCTGGTCACGGGCTAAGTTTGTTTCTTTCATAAGAATGTAGCAGCTCCCTAAAGGGACAGTGCAGAGTTGCAAACCCAGTAAGAGAATTCTGCAGCTCCTGAGCTGGCACCGGGCGAGTTGCTGCCGTCCTTGTGACAGAGTGTGGGATGTGCAGGCTCTGACCTGCTGAGGGTGAAGTGAAGCACTGGCCCTGCGGTTGAAGCTGTCGCCCTGAGAACACTTCACTTTGAGAAGTGATGCTGCAGCCTGGGTAGATCTGTCCTTCATCGTCCTCCCCAGCTCCCTCTAATGGAGCATTTACCAGTCATTATTAATAATGAAGCTAAATTGTGAGTCTCATTATAAAATTATCTGAATGTGCTCCTTAGAGTGACCAATGGGCTTTACCCATGGTTTGGTTTCATGCACAGTGGATGAAAGCCATCAGCAGTGAAGTGAAATGAATTAGTAGCTACTTTTCTTCTCAAGCACCAAGTGTCTTCATATCTTTAAATCTTCTGCAAGATTTATATGACACCTAATTGTAATATCAAAACATCATATTTTGTGCTCCTTTGAATAAGTCATAGTTTAGACTTTGTTTCTGACATGATCATCCCTTGCTCTTTTTGTACCTGCTTTCCATCTTGCCTTCTTAGTGCAGTATGCCCAGTTAGTCTAAATCAAGAAAGCAACAATTAACCATTAACTTGCTTTATCATTGTCTAATATTAGTGAATAATTTTCATGCCATTGTCTATCTATTATTACTGTTAGTAAAGAAATATTTATATATATTTGATAATTAAATGAAAAACCTAAAAGCACTTACTCCTGAATTTCCCAATTTATAAATGAAAAGGACAATTGAATTTACTTCTAAGCATATTTTCTCACTACATCTCATAGACATTCAATCATGCCTAATAAAACTCAGACTTAATTTATATTTTAGATGGTAGTTGAATGTTAGGCTTCATAAACTATATGACTGTAAATACGGGCTTACTAAAAACATTAATTTGCCTGAAATCTTACTTGTTCTCACTTTTCCTTAAAAATAAATTTTTCTTACTGTTTTTGTAAGGCTGTGGTCATCACATACTGCTAATAGAGCCATAAATTCAAAGAGTTCCTACAACATGTCTCCTAAGTCTCTTTGTTTTAAAAAGTAAGAAAATTGACAACCAATTTAATGATTGACAGTTGGTCTAGAGTCCAGTCCTGGTTCTCAGATTCAGAGTTCTGTGATGACGCCCGTAGTTTCAGTCACTGTCGGTTAACTGTGAAGAGACGACATGACCAGGGCAACTTACAATAGAAAGCCTTGAGTTTGGGGCTTGCTTCCAGGTTCAGAAGGTGAGTCCAGGACCGTCCCAGTGGGGAGCGCGGCAGCAGGCGGGAAGGCATGGCACTGAAGCAGTAGCTGAGGACTTCATCTGACCTGGAAGTTGGAGTTAGAAAGAGCAAGACTGTGCCTGGTGCAGAGTCCACCCTCAGTGACACGCCTCCTCCAGCAAGGCTACACCTCCTAATCCTTTCCAAACAGTCCACCAACTCTGGTCCAGACACTCCAATCTGTGAGGCTCATCCAAGCCACCACGCCCACAGTGCCTCTCAAGACTTTTGCAGCAAGCGCATTGCAGTGTAGTCAGTGCGATGCTCTTCTGTTTAATGACCGACGTTCTAACACCATCCCTATTGAACAGGGTGTGATAATAAAGTAAATTTGGTTATACTTAAATATTTACTGATTTTTACTTACTCATTTCAGATGTAAACAGTGTTCAAGCTTGAAGCCTATACAAAACCTAAATTCCCTTCTTAATAAAGGACTGTGGATTCCTTCCTCTGTGGCAGAAGGTTAGCTCAATTTTTATGTTTTATAATTTCCATTCTCTGTCATCTCACTGATTTGTTCTTTAGTATATGTGGATATTTTTGGCAGAGTTAGCCTAATTTTTCTAAATTAAAATCTCTTTACAATAATTGTATTGAAGAGTGAGGGCTAAATATTTAAAATGTTTGCAGTTATTTCCAAGCATTATAATCACATTGATATTTCAATACTGGATTATTTGTTTTCCATTTAAACATTGATCCCAAATACAGATCCTGAGGAAATCTTTCTAACTCTTATCTTAGCATTGGAAAAGGTATTGAGATGGCTCTTACTTTCCCCCAAGTCTTTGGCCAGGACAAAGGAGTCTTTATCTGTTACACACATAACTAACTGGTCACCTAGCTTTTGGTTACAGCTACCAGGAGCATGGCACAATTTTTAGACTTCAATATTGAAGCCAAATCTGCCTATATACAACTAAGGTGGACTGTGTTGTGTCTACTAGAATTATTAGGTGTGTATTTCCGTTTCCTCCTTTATTTAAAAAGAAAAAAACACTCTGTGGGATTGACAGCATTTATTATGCCTCCATTGAGCATGTATTTTAAACCCAGTTCTGTGTCTCCCTTTGCCACTTTTCCTCATTTCTTACTTCTTTGTCTCCTCTTCAATAAGCATTCCACTTTGCCAATCTTTTTCCCAGAATTTATCTTTCAGAGATATTAACAGCTGTAGGTATCATTTGGCCAACTCAGAATACTTTTGTGAAGCTGATCACACAGCTTCTTTCTACTAGACTGAAATTTTGTTACATAAATATATGTGTGCTTGTGTTTATTTGTTTGTTTGTTTTTTGTTTTCATTTTAAATCTAACTTTGTAATATGACTGTTGTACCGGGAAGTCCAGTGAGAGTCCATGTTACTTTGAACTAGGTAATGCACATTTGTGTTCTCGGCATAGTATTTAAGTTCACTCTTTTTTGGTTCAGTGTAATCTCTTGAGACCCTTTGAAGCTCCAAACTCTGTTCCTGTCTTATTGCTATTTAATACTAAAGTCCTGTGTTTGCCAAATTTATTCTTCTGAGTTGCCTGCTTAATTAATTCCCCTACTGAAATGTGGTCTGCGTGGATGGAAGGTAATAAAACGTTCTGTACATCTATGTTGTGCCTTCAGTTCTGAAAAAAAGGTTGTTCAAATCCTCATGTGATTTGGTATATCTAATTTACTCACTCTTCTTCATCTCTGCATCTCTTTAAAAAATAAGGAATACTTTACACTCATAATACAAAAGGGAATATACTTTAAAAAATACTGAACTACGTGTTCTTTGGAACATTCTGTAATTTTAGTTGATCTTTTCCTATGATTAAAATGCAGTGCACTGCATTTTATTAACCACTTTTTGTGGTTTCTATTAAGTATTATGCAGTTGTTTATATTATGAGACTAGTTCTGTATAAATACAGTGGTCTGCTTCATCACTTTAATACTGGAGCAGGAAGTTCCCACGGACACGTTTTCTTTCTCTTGTTACTACTCTTAGTAAGCATCATTTGCGGCTCCATGCTAGAATAAAGCTCTTGTCGCATCTAGCTGCCTGGTATAATGTGCTCTTTTCCCTCACTAGTTCTGGGCATTGAGCCTCTGCAGTATGTGTTTGTTATGACCTTCACTCTGGATGATGGGACAGCAGTTCTGGATGCTTACCTCAAGGACTCTGTAAGTACCAGACTCAGAACAGATATCTCACTAACAATTGATATTTAAAATGTTTAACATATTAATACTTCTTGGTTCTACTCAATGTGACTTATTGAGAACTTTTGAACCCTAAAGCTTAGTTCCTCTACATTTTGTTCTTAAAAGAGTTTTAAATAACTTAAAGTATATAAAATATAACCACATAAATCTAATATTGTATGTTCTTTTGCCTTTGATTTTTATTAAAAATCATACTTTGAAAAAAATGGAAAGTTGAATCGAAATCTGAGTCATTCTCCCCGTCAAACAGAAATTTACTGCTAGACAAAAAAGCAGATAATCTAGCCACCTGCTGTCATCTTACTGGACTTTGTAGCCTCCATAGTCTCATCTCTGAGAAAACAGAGTGGTGTTGTTGGGTAAGCTGTAGAGAAGCCCAGAGACTGTTGTCATTTCTGATGCTCGTGGTTCTCCACTGACCAGTCCGAGAAGCCACATTTAGCTTTGATCTTTGCAAAGCTGTCCTTTCCATATAAGCAGAGACTTCGTTCCTGGGCTGTCTGCAGCAGTGTACATGGAGTCCTGGCAGTTTGGGAAGCTTAACCTCGGCGCTGATATGACTTGTCGCATGTTGTCATTCAGAACTGGCTGCCCATGTGGCTGGTGGCTCTCTTCCTGAGGTCAGGCTAATGTTGCATGTCCCAAAGTCTCCAACCTCAGGTGACACTGTTAAGTGTTCCAGAGTACCTCATAGTTCCAGGAGGCGCAGTCAAGTCACTGGCTGTCAAATGGCATGAAACACCAAAAGCTACGAGGAAGACCAGCTATTTATTGGGCTAAGAGGGCTTAGGGGTGTTTTGTTTGTTTTTGCTGGAGAGGTGGATAGGTTATTTTTGTTTTAACTTATATGAATTGGAAAACAATCCAGGTTAAGGTTAAAAGATATTTTTTTTTACCCTCTGGTTTCCACAAGTCATGCAACCACTTATTAAATGAATATTACCTGGCAGCTAATGTGTGCCTTGTATGTTGAAGATAGAATAGTTAGCAACACAAACGAAATCTCTTCTCTGAAGCCTAAATTAGAAAGGGAAGAGATGAAATGTTTGCTTTCTTAATGTTATACCCTTTCATACTTAACAGTAGATTTCCTTTCCAGGGTACAAAAGTTATCATCAGCCTTGCTTCATGATCTTACTGTGTTTGTGTGCATCTCCAAGCTGGGGTACCAGTAAAGCAGTAAATCAGATTTTAACCTAGCCCGGTATTGCAATTTATGGATTCTACAACTTTAATAGACTAGATGAATATAGTAGGTCATTTTAGCAAATTAGATGCTGAAATTCTGTACATTAAAACTTTCTCTTTTTTTAATTTATGCCTTTATTTTTATTATATAAATGTTTTCCCTACATGATGTGTCTCTGGTCCCTGTAGAGGTCATCTGATCCTGATGCAGGTTACAGGTGGCTGCAGGCCACTGTGTGGGGGCTGCGAATCTCACGTGGGTCCTTTGCTAAAGCAGCCAGTGCTCATACCTCCTGAGCTTTCTCTCCAGGTCCACAGGGATGCTTTTTCAAAGGATGAGTATTTCCTGTGTTTATCATCATTTTTAGGAGAACTTTTTCAAAATCCCAGCATCCGAAGTCCTCACAGATGACAGCCTTCAGAAGAGTCTGGAAACAGTCATGGATATGATATGTCCACCAGGAGTAAAAATTGGTAGGCAGTATGTAAAAGATGCCTCTCTTCTCCTTCCCTCTTGGAAAAACACCTAGCATGTTTCTAATGTCTAGCCTAGAAGTAAGCAACCATGAGTCCACATGACTCAGGCTGTAAAGGAGAACTATTACCCATGTTCTGATGAGGTAGTGGCTGAGGTAAATATAAATAAAGGAGTTTGAAAATATCTTAAAATACGCTGAAAGCATGACAGTTTTGGTCCCAGTACATTAGACTCTGAGTTTACACATACAGCATATACACATGGAGGCTACAGTTATACAGACGTATTCAGTTTCCACAAGAAATAGTCTTAAAAATAAAATACATTTATTTTGTTTGACTCACTGATGGGGTTTTCTTTTCCATAGAAACAGACTTCAGAACTTTGAGTTTTTATTTTGCAAAGTTCATGACCGTTAGTTATTCCTGCACAAACACCGGCTTCTCAACCTGCTCCTGTCCAGGTGATGTTCTACCAGTTATCGCTGTCACCATGTCGGGCTCTGGCCCGGGATTCTGTTTCTCTTGGGACCTGCAGCTCTAGATTGTGTTAAGAAGCTGGATTCTTCCAGGAATCCTTCTCAGTACGAACCTCTCTCTGCCTGCTTATCCCTTCCTGATGGGACTGTCAAAGGTGTTCCTGGTGAGGGTTGATCCTGCCAGCCTCTGTGTTGTAGCATCAATTCCAAGGTGGAATTCCGGCTCATCTGGAGTAAAGTTTAATTTGAGCAGCTTCATTTTTGTTTGTTTCAATTTGTGTTGCTATTGGAATTACCCATGGACAGATTTCCAAAACAAAAAGTCTCTGGGCCTGGTGACTTTTGATATACACAGCTAAATTATTTTCTAACATTCTTTACTATGTCCAGTCCCATAAGCCATGCACAGAAGTGTTTGACTTTACCCTGGCTGGCTTGAGGGCTGCACTACATGCTCTCAGACCATCCCGGGCCATCTGTTGATGTTAGAAGTGAGTCTGACCTGCTCTTAGAGTATGGAGAGGGCCAATTGCTGATGGCTCTGTGTGGCTCCATAGCTGTGTCCTGCAGGGCAGGTCACACTGATCGGAGCTATAGTTCAGGTTCCCTTTCTTTCCAGCTCATCAGGAAAAAGCCAGAGAGGCCTGTAAGCAGCCAGCACCAAAAGTGGTGTGAATGTGGCTGAGGGGTAAAGTGTGACCGACTACTGTCTTTGCTGCTGGGTCTTTTGTAAACCCAGGCACTTTCATCTGTTTGTTGGGAAACATTTAAAATTAGTCAGCATGAGCAGTTCTGTGTTGAATCTAATGGCCACGTTTCTTTTGGTCTGTAGATGCATACCCATGGCTGGAGTGTCTCATCAAGTCCTACAACGTCACCATCGGAGGAGAGCAACGAATTTGTTACCAGATTTTTGACACTATGGTTGCAGAAGATGTCAACTAGTGCTGCCATACAGTGCAGTGTGTGGGATTTTACAGTTTTAGAAAAGGTTATGACTCTCAGATTCTCAGAAGACATTTCGCTATTGTCAAAAAGTGTTATATACCCATTTTCACCATAGTTTAGTTCTTTTGTACAGAAAGATATTTTATATTTATTTATACCTACTTGTGAACATGTTAAAAATGCTTTGTTACTAATCATGTCCAGGGAGGTAGAAAATGAGGCCACATGGCTTGAAAAGGACCAGGCTTTCTTGGCTCTTATTTATAAAACTCTGGTGGCTACTTTCCATCCTGTGCTGTTTGGATTCATCTTTGTGAGAAGAATCTGTTTGGCCACCCTTCTCAAAGAAGCCTTGCTGTGCTTCCACACATGTGTATCAGGTTACCTGAGTTCTGCTTGAACGTATGCCTTAGTGAGCCTGGCTGTACTAAAGGGGGGAGGGGCCTGGGTTGCCCTAAGTAGACATGGTACAATGTTTTGTTTAGGTGCTGTTGTTGCCCATGTTAGGATAATGTATCTCTTTGAACCAAATAGTATATTTGACTTCCTGCTTCCCTCCAGAATACTCAAAAGTTATTTCATTCCATCTAACAAAGTGGTGGAATTTATGATTTTTATAAACCATATGTGTCTTAACTTTTCCAGGGTTCTTGTGTAAAATATGCCTATATTGCAGATATTGAGATGTTAACTCAACTGAATGCTCTTGTTTTTATTCAGTAGTGTTTATCAACTTACAGGGGTTTTTTAATATTTTGCACAATACATTTTGATCACCTTTTCCCCTTCTCCCTAATACTCCCTACACACCTAATTCCACACACTTTTTTTCTCTCTTTAGAAAACAAGCAGAAAAACAAAACAAACAAGCCATAATACAAAAAAAGGAAAGCACAAGAAACGCACACACATACAAAATTTATACATCAAAATCAGAAACCATAACATACGAACAAAAAGCCAGTATGGCAAACAAAACAAAACAAAAACAGAAAAAACAAAGCCGAAATAAAGCAATATGAGATAAGTCTACAAAATACCATTAACTTTGTTTTGTGTTGGCTGTTTACTTCTGGACATAGGACCTGTCCTTAAGTGTGGTTAATATACCTATTGAGATTTCACTGGTGAAAACTAAGCCTTTCTTTGGTAGTTGTTACAAATTGAAGATAGCCTCTCAGTTACGGTTGGGAGCCCATATCCATTGCCTCTGAGCACTGTGATCCCATCTGGCTTGGATCTATATTAGCCTGTACATACTGGTCCAGTTCTCTTGAGGTCATTTATGTGTCAGTCCTGTTGTGTCTACAGACCTTGTTTCCATAGTGTTGCCAGCCCCACTGGCTCTTACAACCTTTCTGCCTTCTCTTCTGTATAATTCCCTGAGCCTGGAGGGAAGAGGTTTGAGGAAAACATCCCATTTAAGGAAAAGATTCTTGTGGAAGTGGCCAACCAATGCCCTTTTTAACTAGCAGTCTGTGCCACAAGAGCGCTCCTGCCATACAGTGCCTGTCCACCGTAATCCTAAATTCTGGTTCCTGGGTGTGTTGATGCATTTCTGTTCCAAGCTCTCATCCTCCACTTTACTCTTTCCTCAGCTCTTAAGGGGCAATGCGAAAGGGCTGTTGTTGTTCAGAGTCTATTAACTCTCAGTTCACAACTTTCCTTGAGCAAATGTGCTGGAAATTACTGATGCTTAAAGGATTCGGTGTGAGATGAACATGTCCTCTGCCTTCAGCAAGCACCCAGTGTCCGGAGGAGGACTCCTGCACAGCCTTATACCGAATATGTCCTGTTGTACCTCTAGGTGTACAAAGGGAAACTTTCTCTGAACCTTGTTTCTCTTGGCTTACCTCACATTGCTGTGATTTCTTTGTTTATTGTGAGTTTTTCTCCTTTTCACTTTTGGACAAAAGTTCCATCAACACAGTGTTTAACTAGGGCAGCATATGCGTATTACCGTTAATCAGGAACAGACACTAGAAAATTTCATTTCTGGAGCAATTGGACTAGTTCATGTGCCTATGTTGGATAGCGATCCTTTATGTGGATATTGCTAGAGTCTTCCTCGTGACCTAACATTATGCAAATTTGAGTAAATATTGTATTTACAGCCTCTGATTCAGTTTTTGGTTTCTGTAACATCTGTGTAGAATCCACTGGATTGTTTTTCTTCTCCTACATTGGTATTAAGACAAAAAGAATATGTGCCTTATAAGCTGGAGTTATGCACTGCTCCTAATGTATTTGATTGGCCACTCCATGCTTTGAAAGAACTATGAATACCAGAATACTGCAACATTTTCATGTGCATACAATTTTCTAATCCATGCTCTTCTTCTGTTGTGAGCTATAAAACCAGAGAAGACCATTCAGACACATGTTTAAGCCAAAAGAAAGTATGCTAGCAACTACACTGGGTATGTGGGATCCTAATGTAGCCCAGATCCTTTCTGGGAGAAAAAAAAGCCAGCAAAAACAATTAGACAGTAGCAGAACTACAGGAGCCAAAATGCAGGGTTAGTACAGTTAGAGACTTTTCGAGAAAGATAGGCCTTGATGGATTAGATCTTTGTTTTTACTTTGGCGGGTGGTGCTGCCTTTGTGCTGAGTTTTATAGCCTGAATGAAATTTCCATCATGGCATCAGTTGTACTAAGATCTGGGAGCCTGTTACCATTGCACAGTGAATGTTGTGTTTGCACACATAGAAATATAAACTGCTGAGTCTGTGTATGTTTATGGTTTCAGGGCTAAGCACTTTGTGTTAGATAGGGGCTTATCCCTGGGAGAGGCTAATTCTGCTCTCTCAGCAGCCGTTAGTTGCCTGTAGTTCTTGGTCTAGGAGTAGGACCCCATGAGGTTTTCCTCCTTCTATGTTAGCATATCTATTTATAATTGCCATTGTTCCAGTCTTACTTATACAGCCATTTCTAGGAGAAACTCACACCACACTTCCCAGTACTCTGTGTCTTCTAATCTTTTGTGATGTTTCTGAACCTTAGATGTAGGTATTGTGGTTTGACGTATCAGCAAGGCTAATCTTTCCACGGTGTTTTGATCTCTGTATTGTGTCTACTTGTGGCCTCTTGTGGTGGTCTACATTTGCTATAAGGAGAACTGTCTTTGATGAGGGATTTTTTTTTTTATTATAACTATGCTTACCTGTGGATATAAGGACATTATTATTTTTTATTTACCTAAAATTATGTACAATGCATATAAGTCAATATATGTACATATATAAATAGTGTATGAATTTTAAAAGAAATTGTGCCTCTTGGGCTGACAGGGTTTCTCACAAGAACCATAGACTAGCAAAACCCCAGCACCAGGCGTAGGAACCCTCTTGTGAATGGTTGGTCAGAGCAGTCCAGTTGACTGCCAATACAGTGTAAACAATTGCCGTTGCCCTTGGCCGCTTCTCAGAAATCGAAGATTTCCCTGTTGCTGAAGACACCACACAGTGAAAGCAAAGGGCTCAGGGTGTTTGAATGTAACCTGAAATCCTCCCTTCTGCTTTCGAGCTTCCCTGGTACCAGAAATTATTATGCAAGCTGCCCAGAGAGGGGAAATACCATGACCACAACAGCTCTGAAAAGGGCAAGCATTGAATCGGGGCTGGTTACAGCTGCAGAGGTTTAGTCCATTGTCATGGTGGGAAGCAGAGCAGCACACAGGCAGGCACGGTGCTGGAGAAGAAGCTGAGAGTTCTGCATCTGGATCCACAGGCAACAGGAGGAAGGCTGAGCCACACTGGCTGTAGGTTGAACACAGGAGACCTCAAAGCCCATCCCACAGTGACACACTTCCTCCCACCAAGCCACACCTCCTAATAGTGTCACTCCCTATGGGCTAAGCACGAGGCTGTGGGGGACCACCCTTAGTCAAACAACCACACCTAGCCAGAGATGCTCATGGTTAATAGAAATGATGTATACATTGAGAGCTTTAAACAAAACAATGTGAAGTTATTCACTGACCTAGCTGTGATCCCACAGGAAATCATTTTAGTTTGGTCTATAGTTTTCCAGATTCTTAAGAACATGTGTGTATGCTTTTGAAAATAGAATTACGTTGTGGATACAGTACCATAATTTTTCTTTTTTTACCTTATATTCTCATGTCCATGTTCAGAGAGGGAGAAGCCCGTTGCTCAATTTCCAAACACAAGTAACTTCAGTTGGGAATTCTGTAATTTTTTTTTTTTTTTTTGATGTCTGCTGTGGTTTCTCCCAAATGTCTTATTTTTCACTACCTTTGGAATTTTGAATTTTTATAAGAACCCATCCTTATTTCTGGGTTGTTAATCCTATAACTTTGTAGTTAAAGTTATTTTTTAATTACTGTTTTAATCTGCCTTTTGTCTTTTTTTCTCTGTAAATCTAGAGACCCTGGCCTGAAGCACCAAATCCTCTATAGGGCTTTAGGTGATGACTATTTTGGAGACTTGCCTGATACAGAATAGAACTTCTGTGGCACTGTTTTCTACAGATACTTTTTGTTCTTTGACATATCCATGGGGAGAGAGATGTAATAAAGGGAAGGACACCTGTGTGGTTTTGCTAGGAATTTTGAGCTTGATTAAGGCTATGAAGACTCACCACAAACTCCTAGAATATCATTTTTGGAAAATAAAAGATAAGTTCCTGTGCTGGTGCCTTGGGATCTCTAGATGGTTCATTATCTATTCTAGGTGGCTTATAAGCTATCTCATTCATCAGGAAAATGTGGATTTCACCCATTAGTAAAATCTGGAAAAAGCAGTCTGTCTTTGGGAACTTCTGAGCACTCATGTGTAACATTATATCTACACTGAGGTCAGGAAATCATTCCGGGAGGCTGCGTATTATTCTTCTCTCCAATACTGTGATTAGAAGTCTTAGGAAATGTGAGATGAGTGAGAGTTTCAAAGTGGCGATCTTCTTACAAGGAGATACCGTCTCTTCCAGGGAAATGTGCATTGGACGTTTTGCAAAGTTGCTGTGATAGTGGTAAGGGTCAAGAATCAGCTCTCCAGACACTCAGGTCAGTGGCTCTGCTGCTTTTAAACTGCGGAAACATCTTAAAGAAGGTCTGCTTGTGTTTTGTACTTGGAATGTGGATCACAAAGTCACACAAGGAGAGGAAGAAGAGGAAGAAGGTGTGTAAAAGTGCTCGTGTAGAGAAACTTACTCTGATTTGATGCCTTAGGTGTGCTGTGTTGTCATTTACCTGACCATCGCCAGATAAGGCTGCTTATAGATTGTGTGGATTTCCTTTAGTTTATCTAATTGTTAAGAGTATTTTAAAGAGTTGCATCTGTTAAAACCTTAACCTCCCTGTCATCTAATAACAAATATTCACATATTGTTGCAGTTTTTACAGGCATCTGAATTTGTATATATTTTTTCACAATAACTTTTTCTTTCATCTAAATCAAATGAGTTTCCAGAGAAAAATCAACATAGACTCTTACTTTTCAGCTCAATTTTGACTTCCATTTAGAAGGCAGTTTTAAAATTTGGTATTTTGCCACACTTAGCTCCTTTACAAGTAATTCTCTGTCCCAAGCTTCCATGACAATTATTAAATGTACGCATATGTAGCTAATACCAGTTTCTTGGAACATTGCAGGGAACATAAAACTTTGGGGTGTTTGTTGAAAGTCACAACCCAAACTTTCAAGCAGTAGGATTGTAGGCATTTATCATTCCAACTCCACGGTAAGACTATTTAAAATCAAAATTATTAACTTGTGGATTCAGGTGAAAACATAGTTTGCAGTAGAAAGACATTGTAGTGGGGTTTTAGAGAGGAAGTCCTAAGTGTTTATCCCTTATTAGGTAAGACTGTACAAAAGTAAATTTGTCCTCAAATGTTGAAATCACTGATACATATTTCTACAGAATGACCAAAGCATAAATGAAGGTTAAGATAAAAAATACAATGTGCAAAATTGTTATTTCAAAGGTCAGCTCATACATTTATATTCAGTTATTACTCATACAGGATGTACCTGAAAATGACTTGACACAGTTTGTGAGAAAAGACAAGTAGGGGACTAG